CACCGGGAAGCAGGGCTGGGCGGGAGGTAATCGGGGGGAGCAGGGCTGGCCAGTGGGGAGCGGGGCAGGCCTCAGCCCAGCCCGGGCACATGCAGATCCCAGGGTGCTGCACATCCCATCCCGCACATGGTCCCATAGGAGCATGAGCAAGTCTGGCCCTGGGGATTCCATCCCGCCCCGCCTCTACCCGCCTCCTCTCTACTGCGTAGTTGCGTACTGCCTGGCTGGTGTACACACTCACGCAGTGTGACTCATGCAGTCTACCAGCCAGGTAGTATGCAACTATGTACTGATGCTCATAATAATAAAACTAACCTAATTAGAAAATACCAGACATTTCTGTGTCTGGTATTTTCTCAATTTATTTCCTGGTCAGAAACCTCAAATACCGGACTGTCTGGTTCAAAACCGGACACCTGGCAATCCTAACAGTACAGGTAGTGCATGGAAGGCCATCCCATCAAGGGAGGCATGATGAGTGGCCTGAGCTGCGACAATTGCTGAGTTGCTGGCTGGGAGCCAGCTAAGATAAGCACCTCCTGGTCAGAGCCTGCACCTGGCACTCCACCCCTTCCCACACCCCAACTTTCTGCCCCAGGTGACAACCCCCTCTTGCACCCTTGCCCCAGATCACAACTCCTCCCAGACCCTGCACCCCCTTCTAAATCCCTCTTCCGGGTGAGAATCCTCTCCTGCGCCCATATCCTTTCTCAGACCTTGCACCCACTCCTGGACCCTGCCTCCCCTCCCAGACCCAAATCCCCATACCCGGATCACAATCCACTCCTTCACCCAAGCTCCCTCCTGGACTCATCACCGTGTGCTGCATCCCAATCCCTTCTGCACCCAACCACCACCCCAGACCTCTCATCTCTTCCATTAATGTAATAGAAAAGTGTGGACCTTGATTAATTACCAAATTATTGGAGTGCACCCCCCCAAAAAAATTATTGCCCCCTGTTGATATATATGCAGGTCTCAGTAGTGTATGTGAAAGGTGACCAGGTGTCCCAGTTTTATAGGGAAAGTCCCAATATTGAGGGCTTTACCTTATACAGGTGCCTATTACCATCCATCCCATTCCAATTTTTCACACTTGTTTGGTGGTCACCATATTTACTTGTGTGTTCAGATATGGTGTGTCACAGCTGGGGTGTTTGCGCTTGTGAATATGGTGCGTACATGCACAATTTGGCTGAGGGGAGTGTGTTTAAGTGTTTGTGGATGGGGTGGGGGTCAATCACTTATGTACAAGTGTGTGTGCGAGCAACACCCAGAGAAGGGAAAAGTGGAAACTGCCTGGGGGAAGAGGTAAGGACATCTCGCCATCAGCAAGGAGCGCCAGCCTGGAAGGTGCATTTTCATCTGTAAAAGTGTGTTGGTCATGCCAGGGGTGTGCAGTGTCAGCCTGAGACACTCTCCCGCCAAAAGCTACTGCCGCTCATGGGGGCGGCTGCTTGTGCCTGCAGGGGGGCAGGTGCAGCGCAGGCCCAGCCAGAGGGGCGAGGGGCGGAAAGGTGACACGTGGCGGAAGGAAGCAGTGGGGGCTGGTGCTAGTGAGCTGAGGGGAACTAGAGAGGAAGCCGCCATCTTGGTGGTGACAATGGGTGGAGCAGGCTGGAC